GGAGTAGATAATAGACCAGGAGATCTTACCAGTGTATAGAAATATATGAAGGGGGGGGTGCAGACAAGATGTGGCTGGGCTCTGTTCAGTGGTGCCCAGTGCCGAGACAGGAAGCCATGGGCACAGACCGAAACACAGGGGGACCTCTGAGGCCAACAGGAAGCACCAGGTATGTCATGAGGGTGTCCGAGCACTGGCACAGGTGGTCCAGAGAGGCTGTGGAGTCTCCATCCGTGGAAATATTCAAAAGAGCTCTGGACGTGGGCCTGGGTAACTGGCTCAGGTGGCCCAGGTTGAGCAGGAGATTGGTCCAGATCCAAAGGTCCCTTCCAAATTCAGCTTTTCTGTTAATAATGAGCTTTTATGTCAGTGAAGCTGTAAGCACATTAAATTTCAACTACTTAAAACAAGAAGAATAACTTGGTCTTTGCAAAATTCATAATAGCAAAGCAGTTTTGTTTGCTACACAGTTCTAACTTGACATCAATACAGTTGAATGAGTTTTGAACAGTAAAACAGAACAACAGAAGTTTTGTTCCATTGCTACCATGCTTCTGTATGATGGTTCCAAATAGTGATCCAGGGTCATGCCAGAGACTATGTAACAAGTGCAGTAAAAACTCCAGTGAGACAGTTTGTCATGCATCTAGCAATTCCTCTTTGCTATGAGTTCCATTTTGTGTCATGCAGTTTGGGTGAATTTTGGATGAAATGCTTGAAATAGTTGAAATTGATAAAATTAAAGAGAGCTATTACTTTGAAAAAAAAATTGCACAGGTAATGCAATAAACATTATTTCAGGATAGTAGGACAGTGAAAAGGAAGTGTTATCATAGAAAGTGTTTGTAATTATGCCTTTAAAACAATGGGACCTGTTGGTTTGAGGTTTTTTTGTTTGTGTATTGTTTTTTAAGGAGGTATTTCTCTAATCAGCTAAAATGGTTTTAAAGAAGAAGAAGGAAATTCAAGTGGATGCATTCTTCCTTGATCATCATCAGCTTGAAAAACTTCAGAGTAAGTAGAGTGTATTTTTCTGAACTAATGTGTGATTTCTCTTGCCTTTGAGTAGTTACTGAAATTGATCTGTGTTTCTGCTTATTATGTTTTATTTCCAGTGGTTTTGCTTTGTGAGTGTCAGCTGTGGTTCATTTTATTTTGTAATGACAATGACTTCTTACCTTGACAGAGTTGAAAAAATCCTTTAGAGCACTGTATTTTTGGTTTGAAAACTCTTCATTTTGTTTTGTCTTTGGTGTGAAGGTGAAAGAAGGTCCTACTTGTGACCCCACTTGCACACCTGTAATTCAGTGATATATGAAGTACTAGCATTAATTTGTGGGTTAATACTGAATTTCCAGGAATCACAGAATGACTGAGGTTAGAAGGGTTCTGTGGAGGTCATTTTTAGTGTATTTTTTCCCAGTCTTTGTGTTTTCTGCGCAGTTAACTTGATTTAAAGATACTGTTCATGTAGTCTTTTATTTTGTGGGGGGGGTTTTTTTGTTTCTTCATGTTTGTTTGATGATATAAACTTCCAGTGATATTTACTTTAAAAAACCCAACACCAAGTAATGCAAGATTTGTATACTAAAGTATACTCAAGTTACTCTGAGATAGTACTGGTGAGGTCACACCTGGTACACTGCATCCAGTTCTTGGCTCCCCAGTACAAGAGCAATATGGACAGAGTCCAGCTAAGGGCTTCTAAGATGCTGAAGGGCCTGGAGCATCCTTCCTATGAGGAAAGGCTGAGAGAGCTGTGATTCAGCCCAGTGAAGAGAAGGCTCAGGGACATCTTACCAATGTGTGAAAAATACCTGATTGGAGGACATGAAGGAGGCAGAGCCAGGTTTTTTTTTGTTCTGAACAGTGATGGGACAGGAAGCCATGGGCACAAACTGAAACACAAGAGATTCCCTCTAAACATCAGGAAACAGTCATTTTATATTATTATAAATTATGTATTGTTTACAGTGTTGTAATTCCTTTCTAAAAAGGGATTTTTCTTCCAAATGTAGAGTTTTCAAAGGCTGAAGAGCAAAACCTGGCTTCTCTGCTTCTGCACTGTGCACAGCTGAGAAATGGCATCCAGCAGATCCAGTGTATTAAACAAGTAAGACTTCACTGTTGGTGGTGTGGTTTTTGGTAACTGTGTCGTGCACTGTTAATGGGGAATACAATTCAAAATAAACTTTGTAATGTTTTAGGCATTCTTGGAAACAGGTAAAAAGCAGTTGTTAGTGCTGCACATACAGTACAGGTAGAAATGTAATTCTAGTACTTAAATTAGTTACTGAAAATGGTGGAAGACAAGTGATACCAAGTTTCCTATTTTGTATGTGTGTATTTTTGGTATTACAGGTGTTCTTGGAACGTTATCTGTCACTTCAAACTCAAAGGAAATATAGTAAAGAGAGGACGGTTTTCCACCATATACTTGGAGGAGAGGGAAATCTGCCACTGTTAATGATAGTGTATCTAGAGCTTTTTGTTCATCCTGTGTTCTTTTGGTTGTAGATTATGCCATTGGTGAAGAAGATGGATCAAAACTCTGCATGTGATCCCATGGTTAAAGCCTGTTTGGATATTTTGGGAGAGATATATTTTTCACTGAGTATGAAGAATCCTTTGAAAAAAGTATTAGCAAGGTAAAAAATTGAACAGTAAGCCTTTATTTTGTTTAAATGCTCTCTTTACCTAGAAGTCAGTAATTTGTCATTCACAACAAATTGCTGTAGCTTAATTACTGAAAATTTGTGGTGCTAATACGTGAATATTAGTACTATTTTTTTTCTGGCTTAGTTAAAAATTTTAATTATAAGTAACTTATCATTGGATAAATAACTTCAGAGTGAAGTATTATTTTGATCTGTTTCATTATTGGAAAGACAACATACTGTGTAATTAGCACTTTGAATTTTAAAATCCAGTGTTAGAATAGAAATTTAGAATGCTTCTGTTAAAAAAAAAAAAACTCAGCTTTGTCAAGAGAAAGGGGTTCAGAGGAATCATAACTAAACTGATTTCTTGTGCCTATTTTTATTGCAATTAAATTTTTCTGTTGCAAAATTACTGCTGTATTTCTTTAGTGAATTTATTACAGCCTTAATGTTTTTTAAGATCCAGTGCTTAGCTGTCTTCCTTTCTTTGTCGGAAGAGATTCATTGTCCCCACTGAGAGGGCTTCTGTTCTGTATTTGATGGCAGGCCAGAGCTTTACACCCATTTGACAGGTTTTCTAGCTGCAAAATTAGAACCTGCATGCTTATTTTGAAACAGACTGTTTCTGTTTATTAGAGTTGTAGCTGACATTGACTTTAGTTGAGTGGATGTTCAACATCTCAGTGTAAGCAAACTGATTGTGCCGTTTCTTGCTGTTGCAGTTCACTGAATGGTCTTCCTGAAGAGTTGATGATGTTAGGTGTGCAAAGCTTTGTGTGCTGCCTTAGGGCAGAACTGAAAACCACAGATGTGTATTTGTACAGAAGAGTCTTGGACAACCTTGCTTCCTGCATGGAGGACTTCAGCTTAGGTACAGTGACATTGAATGTATTGTCGTCTGGTTTGATTTGCACAATGCTGGTTGGCACCTTGGTGCCACACCTGATAATAATGTTTGTAGTTATGTTAAATAGATAGTGCTGACTGGTGTTCAGTACTTAAAATATATTTTCTTTCCTCTAGGTAGAGCAAGTATTAAGAACCTGTTTGAAGAAGGTAAACTTATATTTACAGCAAAATAAGCTTCACTGCAGGTTATTGGGGGAGGGATGGGTATGGGAAGAAGTTACATGAAGTAGACATGAAGATCTGTCAAATCTGATTTCCTTCTGGTTAATTTTCAATAACTAGTACCCTCACATGCTACTTTTTTGTCAAAGACAAGACTTTGATTTGTAGCTTTAATTTCCAGGGGTCAGACTTGCTTTATTGAGCAACCCTAGACATAAATCTGTAAAGTGATTCTTAAAGGGCTGGGGGAGTTGATGCTACTTTGCATGTTGCATTCTTTGTGTTGTGCTTCATAATTAAGTTGGATGTGGAAACACTGAACTGTTAACAATCAGCTACAGCAAACCCAGGCCCACTGGGCAAGTATTTTGTTTGATAGTAATTTGGCAGAAATCTGATTTCTGGTAATGTGGGATTACTTGACATATTGTGCCCTCAGCATGCAAGTAGCGTTCAGCTTCGTGTGGACCTTTTATGGCTGCTGTGTCTTTTTTGGTCATTTCAGCTTTTCGCTGAGGAACCAGAATTCTCAGTGCCTCATAGGAGGGAGCCAAGTGGGTTGGAAACTCTTGTTTTGTATCAGGTTGTTGCAAAACAGCTTGAGATTTTGCTTCAGCATTGCTTGTTTTGGTCTGCACTGAAATGTCAGTTTAATTTGTTGTTGGAGTGGAAGAAACACCACTATATGGATAACTGTTCCTTGTAGCTGGGTATGATGTGTATGTGTGCTTGATTTGCTGGCCTTTTTCTGTTCTATTTCTCTTTTAAGTAAATTCATACCATAATTATTTTCCCTAGTTCTTCAGTTTCTGCAGAAGTCGCTCCTTGACATACAGGAAGAAAACAGGCAAGTGAATTCAATATAAGCTCTATTTTATCTGGTTTTGTTTCACTCTTGCAAGATAATGTGGTTTGGTTTGAAGTATCCCTTTAACTGATGAAAGATGGGAATGTCACTTTAGAGTGATGTGTATTTTAAATAAAAAAGCTGCTGATTTCTTTCTTTTGTGGCAAATATGATATAAAATAACAGAGTAAGGCACTGATACTGTGTTGGAGCTACTACTTCTAAGGGAGATGTTTGAGTTGTGGTTTTGCTATCTGAATTGTAACTAAACAGTGTAATCAGTAGGTATAAAATTCAGGTAGAGTAATACTCTTTCACTTTCCATGAGTGTTTAATTCAGTATTTGTGTTCTGTTTAGTCTGTCACAGCAGTCATCATTTAATACCTTGATATTTTCCATCATTGCATAAAGTGAGGTCTCTTCACTGTGGTCTCTCTCCAAAGGAGGAGGGTGCTTAATGAAGTGTTTTGTACACTGAAAGTTTAGGTATTTTCTATTTTCATGTTGAAAGAAAAGCTGAATCATAGAAATATGCTTTGCACATAGAGGAACTACTTGAAAAATGAGAAAAGAGCAGCACTGCATTCTGTTGGTCTTTTTGGAAAGTTTCTGGAAAAATTCAGCTCTGCTCAGGCAGAATTGAATGAGTGAAAGTTTGTCACAGGAACCTGCAGAAGGGGTAGCAGAATTTGTCATTTTTTTTGTTAACTTCATTTTAACAGACTACCCTTGAGTCCACTTCTCTTTTTCCTGTAGTTACGTATCTGGTCAAGCTATAAATTAGTTTTTATCATTAATTCTTTCTGAAGTTGGCAAAATGTAGGTTTCTGGGGATGGTGAAGAATGGCTTTATTATCCTTCTTGTATGCATGTTTGTCTTTTTTTTTTTCCCACAGAAAGAATCTGGGAAATTGTATTGTTCAGACTCAGTTAATGCATGATTTACTGATAGCCATTAAAGTTTCAATGATGCTTATACAGAAATTACAAGAAAATATCCAGGGAAATCTTTGGAAACACAATGAATCTTTTGTTTGGCAATGTATGTGTAGTTTACTGAAAAGCTCCACAAACTTCCTAATGGATGGTAAGTTTAATAACATTCAAACCCAAATATTTTTATTAACTCAGTATTGTTGTCTTTGTAGTAAATACAACCTGTATGTATAAAAACTTAGTTTAGCTTGAATGGAAATTGAATTAGTGAGACTAAGAGGAGTGGGAACAGTAGTTGGTCCTTTGGTTTGTAGATTGTGATTCTGGAGTTTACAGTTTAACTTATCCTACCGTAAAAAACCAATGTAAATGCTATTACTGATAATTCAGAAACTATCAGAAATGCTTTGGGGACTTGCTGAATGTCTGTGCCTACCAGAAATTTATACACCTCTGAATGACGCTGTCAGAACAATTTATGGGTGCACTATAACTAATTATATTTTCTTCTTATACAGACATTTTTGTACAGTAGAATTTAACGTGTGTCCATAGGCTCTGCCACAGCCCTCCTTGTCTTACTGGGCAGTTCTATATTTTCTATCTGTTAAAAGATATTGACAGTTTCCTATTACACTAGAACATAAATTCATTAATACTTGCTAGCCAGGTGGACACTACAGATTTGTCATTATACAACTACAAGTGGTCTAGGAAAATGCATTACCATTGTTGTAATTTTGATATATGGTTCTAGCACACATTTGCTGCGCTCTAATGTAAAATATCTTTCTCTGCCATTTAGCAACACTCCTGCAAACTGTCCAGACTACGTCAGGACTGGCTGTTATTCTGTTTACTAGAGCTATGTATGAACCAGTTGAGGAATTGCCTTCCTTGGTAAGTGTGTTTCTTCACTAGGACTGTGCAATGTCATGGTGTTGTTACTCTGTGCTGTCAGAGTTGTTCGGAGGGTTTGCTGGTACAGAGACTTGCCAACCTCTGCCTCAGTCTTCAGCTGGGGCGTAAATCTGTTGCTCTCTCCTTGCCATCTGAAATAATAAGACCAGGGTTTTGAATTGAGAAAACTAGTGTACAAGTTCACACCTTCTAAGTTATGCCTGAAATAGCTTTTTCTCCTGTGCTGACATACTGTAATGGGTGTTATTTTGCTGTTACAGGTCAGTGGCTTGCTTCTTGGGACCATGAAGCACACGGGCGTGCCGGCGTGGTTTGTGAGTCACTGTGGGGCTCTGTGCACGGCACAACTCCCTGACTCAGTCCTTCTCTTTCTTTGCCATGGAGCACTGGCTATGCTGGATTGGAAGAATGGCAGCATGGGTGAAAATGGAGAGAAACTATTATTAGATATTGCATCAGTCTTGTTGTCTTTGAGTTCAGAGTAAGTTTGTGTTTTGATTTGTGTTGTTTCATGTTTGGGAGGAGTGGTTTATCTTTCTACTTCTGTTTTAACATAACTCCTTTGGTCCTGGTGAAATATCTCTGTTTTCTGTATAATGATACTAGATTTTGCCACAGATCACATCAGCTTTTTAATATATTCAGAATAACACTGTAAATTTGAAAAATATAAGGATATTGCATAGATAATTCTAAATGTCAATTTATTCTTACACGCTAAAATAAAATTTTGTTTTCTAACATGAGTGGGATTAATTTACCACCTCCTTTATGATATGGTATGTCAGAATCAGTTCTTGTGTAGTCAGATAAACTTTAGTTTCAGGACATTATCCTTCTTAAAAGTTAAGAAGAAAACAAAGTGTGCCAGTTCGTGAAATACTTGACGAAAGATGAGGTTTTCTTTTTCTTACTGCAAGCATTGGCTTCTTGCATCTAATGGCCTTACCAGTGCTATTGGATTGGAGGTTAAAACATGTATTCCGTTCAACCTTTGTTCCTACACTGGAGGTCAGTTTTGTGATTTTTGTTTTTGCACATGGGGACTCAGTTTTGATGGTTTTATATGGCAATGAAAAGTTTTCCTTATATTTTCAAGGAGCATGCAGTAACATAATGCTGCTCAAATATTAGCAGCTACATAGGAATTTTTATTTTTGCTTTTTAAAATGAAGTGTGGCATGTCAGGTTTCTTTTAATGTTTAGGGAGTTTAGCTGTGGCCACTTAATAGCATGGCAGGTAACAAGCATGCACTTTACAACATTCAGTTCATCACTTCTGTGCTCATTCCTTTTCCTTATGGAATGACTAGTGTCTTCTTACCTGTTTTTGTGTAAGGTAAATGAATGTGATGAATAATTATTTTGAAATACAATTTTTTTTTTTTAAAAGTGATAAATGAAAATAATAAACTTTATTTTTGTTTCTTCTTTTTAAAAGGTTAAAAGAATCCAGTGTGGCAACATGTTTGTCTAGAGTCCTTGCTATTTGGACTAATTCAGCGCTGGCTGCCCTTGCTTCGGGCTCTCCAAATCTGAAAATCAAGCTTAATGGGAACTCTGACATAATTGGGAAGGTGCTGGAATACATTTATACACACTGGGACCACCCTCTGGATGCCATTAGGCACCAAACCAAATTGATATTCAAGAATCTTCTTCAGATACACCAAGGCACCATTACTGGATCCAATGAAGAATCAGACCCATTCTTTTCAAGGCTGATAAAGCATTTACTAAGCTTGGATTGGCATGTGAAAGGGAAGTACTCTTCTCTTGGCTGTCTTGTGGAGTGTGTGGGCACTGAAAATATACTACAGTTGGACAGAACAATTCCAGTACAAATCCTGGATGTGATGAATGATCAGTCTCTTGCACCTTATGCTAGTGATCTTCTGGAAACCATGTTTACAAATCACAAAGCCCATTTTTCTTCGAGTTTTCGAGAAAGCACCTGGATTGATCAGTGGCACAACATCTGGGTTTCTCCTCTTCTAGTAATACTATGTGAAGGGAACCATGACCAAACTACTTACATAATAGATTACTATTTACCAAAATTACTCAAATGTAACCCTGACAGCCTGAGCTACATGATTAGAATTCTTCAGGCCTCTGCAGATGCTAATCTGGGTAAGAAAATAAATTTAGTGTTTGTAATTATAATTGCTTTTTTAAAACAAAAATCTCAGACATGATTTCTGATCTATTATTGTTGTTAGAATTAACTTGGGAGAAAAATTCTAGATGGTTATGATTGCTATTTAGTATTTCAAGGTGAAAGTCATAATAACCACAAGTGTGTCTTCATGACATGAGCAAAATAATTACTATTCCTTCCCACCTAGTGGGTGCCTTACTGTTCGCTTCAAATGCCAGGGTTTATTATGTATCTGTATTTCCTTCTACTGTTTTTTGGTTCCACTGTTGTTTCTTACACGGGCGTGTCCAGTAACGGGGTTTTACAGACTGTTTTTTCTTGCAAATATGTGCACATGAGATTTATGTTTCTCTTTTAGTTTTTGATGTGATTTAGTGTAATTCTAAAATAATGGCTTGTGAGACCTCGTAAGGTCTTCTTTTTCATATGTGTCCAAGATGAAGCTTCTCAGGAACCAGGCAATTTAGAACTAGTTTAATCTATAACAGGACCATCTTTTGGGATTTACAGGTTAGAAATAAAAGGGAGTGGAGGTCGGTCATGTGGAAAGTGTTGGGAGTTTCTGACAAGCATTGCAAACAGTACATTGTTTGCATTACTCGAACTATAATTATTACTAGTTTTAATTTTTTTTAGGCTCTTGTAGTACTAGAGGAGCTCTTGGAGCATTAATGGCATGCCTGAGAACTGCCAGGGCTCACGGACACCTGGAGCTTTCAAATATCATGAGCAATGGTCTTGTATCCACTGAATGTATAAAACAAGGTCTAGTTCATCAGCACAGTCAGGTAAAGGTCAACCTTTTATGTGTACTTTTAAATTAGAACAATTGCTTTGATCCTGATCCCTATGTCAGCATGGTTTTAAAACAAAGATATCATCATAGGTGCCAGTAACTGTTTTATGGTTAACTTCCAAATATCTTTCAGGTTTGCATTGATGCTTTAGGTTTACTTTGTGAAACCCATCGTACCACAGAAATTGTGTCTATGGAAGAAATGCAACTAATTCATTTTTTTATGATGTACAACTTGAACAGTCAGTCTCCTTCAGTAAGGCAACAGATCGTTTCTATACTGAGAAAGGTAATTTCAAATGTTAAGCAATGTCTAATGTTCCTGTTACATTAGTTATAGTGACATTAAAAAAAAAATTTCCTGAATATGTTACGAAGCTGCTCATCTGAAAGAATAGAAGCTCTAAGGCTAAGACTTTGCTGTATGCATTACCCAGCTGAATGGTGTTAAGTCATTGCAGGCAAGGATGACTTAAACAAAAGCTCAAGTGGTAGGCACAGTAATTTGGTCGGGAATGGTTGCGGATGTTGCTTTAACCCGTCAGTGCGTGCGCAGTTTACCAATAGCAAATCAATGTGCTGTAGGGTAAGCAATGAACCTCGTGTTACCTTTGCTGCAGGCTCAGATTGTGCTTACATAGACTTGTCACACCTCAGGCAAATTCACAGTCACTTAATCAGCCTCAGAAACCTCATGTAGGTAAAATGAGAAAATGGTGAATGCATAAAGAACGTTTTGGAAGACATTAATGGGAAAAGAAAACCGTGTGGAAGGAGAAAATAACTAATTTGAGATGGGTGGTAAATGAGGAAATAGGTTTGCAGAAACAAAAGAGAAATATAACTCTTTCAATTCTCGCCTGGTGCAGACTGAGGAACATGAGATGGAAGAATTGTGTTAGAGGGAGTGTAATAAGAAAGGGGATACTACCAGGGGGTAATAAAAGAGATAGAGGAAGCATTCTATAGGTGCTAGTCAAACTCTTAACGAGATACTGAGGCTGTAAAAATCATATGCATTAATTGAACTTTTTTATATATTCCACAGAAAATGAGGAGGTGGGAGGAGAAGACTAGGCATGCATTTAAGGAGGAAGATGAAAGAAGGTGTTGGAGGTCAGAGGGAGGGGAATAAAGGTCACAAGAGAGATGGGAAGCAAATCCTTGGTTTTGGAGGGGAGAGAGAAGGATCTGTTCTGTGTTGTGTTGTGTGCAAACTTCCTAAATATTACAAACAATATGATCTGGAAAATAAGGTGAAAATCTGCCTTTCCCTTATTTAACTGTCAATGATTCTTGCCTTACCTGTGTTTTGCTTTTGTTTTAAAAGTTATTTTGTAGGATACAAGAAAGTTCCCAGGTGCTTTATAAATTGGAGCAAAATAAAACCAAGCAAGAGTTACTTGAAAACTCAACTACAATGCATCCTTTGGGGATTTTGCAGCAATATAAAGTAAGTTAGACTGCTAGCCATACAGATGTAAGAGGTGGGATAGCATTTCTGAAAGTTTGTTGTTCTTGAACAGCTCTGAGTAAGTTAGGCTGTGTGTGTATTAGGAAATAGTGCAGTGCAGAAGGAAAAAAAATCTGTAAAACCAAACAGTGCTGAGGAGCTTGTCCACTCTGATGCACTTACACAGGTTAATTTTGGCTAAATATACTGTTGTTGATGAACTGAGTGCCCATTAGTAGTTGGGTGTGTCTTCAAGGTCAACGTTTTTCAAAAGCAATAAAGATTATTATCTGAGTGGTTGCTCCATGATGTGAATTAAAGCAGCAGTAAGTGAGGAATGGCTGGAGATGTAACCACAATCAAAAAAAAAAGAATTGGGTAAATGTCCTGTCAGCTGTTGGCCATTTAGTAGTGAGTTTTAAATGATGTGTGTTACCTGGACTTCAAATAGAGATCAGTTGAGCTTCAGCCTTTTTCTTCTCTCCAGAATGATCAGTGAGTGAGAGAATGACTGAGAGAGCTTCAATATGAAGACTTCTTTTGTTTTTGTCCTTTTTAAGGACAAATTAGGCTTTATTTAAAGGCTCACATCATTGGTTTCTTTGTGTTAAACTTTCTTTGTCTCGAGTTCTACTTTTCTGGGTCAGCTAATTTTCAAGTTTTGATACAATGGCCATCTTTTTGTGGGAGTGGGTAAGGGAAACTCTTGGGTTAAAAAATCCCAAAGGATTGTCCAGCCTTCACTGCCTCTAGGAAACAAGAAATTTTGTCAGTACTACAAAGGTAGGCCTCCCATTCTTCCAAAATTAACTGTAAGGTCATAATTTTCTGGGTAACATGTAAAGCAGAATGTCCTGAATTTGGTTACTTAGACTTTTGCTTGTAGTGCATCTTAAATTTTTTCTTGTGATTTTCAGGATTTCATGTCGTCTGTATGTGACAGACTTTTTGAGGTATTGTTTCCTGGTTCATCACACCCAACCAGATTTTCTGCACTAAGTATTTTGGAATCAATAGCAGAAGTATTTTCTGTTCCACAAGGTGAGAAGCCTAATTTATAGACTGGAGGAATGAGTGGTATTGGAGAAGATTCTTTTACACCATCTAATAAATTTCTGTCAAAGTAAAATAGTATTCTTAGTCCTTAATTTTTATGGCATTTCCTGGGTTGATTTCATTTTACCTGAAGGAAGGATTGTAAGTTTTATTGGAAAAAGGAATATTGAAGTGAAAGCAAATGTTTATAGCCTGTTGAGTGTCTTCCATATATTGGGATTCTCTTGCATATCCTGTTTTTTAGCAAGGGTTTTCAATGAGTTTTTGTTATTATGAACAAAACTTCTGGACAAGTTCCAATATATTTGATAACTTACTCCTTTATCCTGTTCAAACATCTTGATAATTTAAAAAACTGAGTTCATAAAAACTCTTGATTGAAAAACCTTGCATCTCCTCATGATATTATTATACAAAATAAGAAACAGTTTTAATGACCAGTTAATGATGTTGTGCTGCTGTTATTTTAAATTTTCTTCATGATGTTATGGAACCCCAATTCAAGATGTATTAGTTAGAGCCTTGGAGTACTGATGGTCTTGCTAAATCTCGTCTTGGGATCATATGGCCAACATAAAAGTATGTTTTCAGACTTAAATTGTACCTTCTTTTTTTTTTTTAAGAAATTATTTATGTAAGATTAAGGTTGATTTTGAAAGAATAAATGTTGTCTTGTTAGGTCTTTTCTCAAAACACCTTGATAAATGATGAACACATTAATTTTATTATTATGAGTATGTAGTATATTGTTACTGCCTTTTTTCAATAGAAAGTTGTATTGAGAGTTTATAAAAAAAGCTTAGGACTTCAGAAACCTGATGTTGCTTTTATAAAGGAGGTTTAGTTGCTGTTGTGTTCTCTGCTGGATGGTGGTGCACATGTTTACATCTTAAAAATTCTGACTTCTTTATAGCATCATATCAGTCACCAGAGGTCATGACTCCTTTACATAAAAATTAAAAGTAAAATATTGTAATGGCTTACATTTTGGGGGATTATTCCTATGATAGAAGAACCCAAAAGACCAAACGCCAAAACACACTGAATTTTTTAAACCTTTTTTTGAAAGTAATTATTGTCTAATATTACATACTTCCAGGAATATAATTTTCAAACAAAGTGCTGAATTTAAAGGGAATAAATGGGATTCTGTTTTTGGCAATAAGTTACTTTCAGTATTACTAAGAGTAATTTTTTTGGATAAGGTAAGCTTCTTTTTCCCCCAGCAGTAACTAGGGTATTTTAAGACCTGTTAAGACTAGTAAGTTAAAGTTTTAGCTAAAGCATTATTCTGACCTTGTTGTTATGCTTCTTGTAGTGTAGTGAAGCAGAATGTGAATACAGTGCTTATTGTGGAAAGAGTTACAGCAAAATTATCTAAGCCATTGATTTCTTTGAATAGGTCAGGCACAAGTTTTTCAGTTGGATCAGGTGATTGATTCTACTCGTGTCCAGACTTTGATCCAGTGTTTTGCCAGTACTTTTGAGGAAGTGAAAGTTCTGGCATTTGGGCTTTTGATGAAACTACGTGATGTTGCATTTAATTTCCAGGTATGGAATTTGAGAGAGTTTAAAGGGAGTAATTTTGTGAAAGATGAATGTTCTGTATTATACCAGGTACTTGGGTTAGGTACAAAGCACAATTCCTGAAACTTGGAAGTCAACCCAAGTTATCTGCAGTAGTGTTCATTGCTAACATATTTTATATATTTTTATACAGCTTCTGCCCTTACCTAGGGAGGCTTGTTTTACCAATGGATGAAGGCATTTGGGAAGTTCATTGGCTGTGACTGTGAACTATCAGAGAACTCTGTGACTGTGAACTGTCAGTTCATATGAACTCCTTGCTTAACTGTGACTTCCCTTTGGAAATGACTGAGGCATTTTGACTTGGTTATTCTTGTATTTTAAGAAATTCAGCTCCTCGTTTTTTTCCTTTCTGATTGATTTCAGATTTCATTATATGATGATATTTTTTAATTTCTCACAAATTTTGCCCTTTGAACTCAATACTGATTTTTTTGCTTTTTAATTAATAAAAGGTGACTTTTAAATTAATAAGTACTGATGAACAGATACTGTTTCCTGGTAGACTACGCTTCTCTGTGATGTCCATTAGCAGATAAAACACAGTCATGTTCCTATGAAGTGCAGTGTGATTGAATATTCCTTTATAAATGACTTTCCCCATCCTCAGTGTGTATGTAATTGTATGCTTGCTGAATACATGCACATGCATGTTTTGACTGTAAGGTGATCAGTGCACAAAATAACTGTTTTTCTTCAGAAATATGTACCAGCAAACTTAATGAAAACCAGATTCTCAGATTTCAGGGTGGTAAATAGCTTAATTAAATCAATATGAAAGCTCAAAAAATGAGCATTATTGTTGGTTTTTTTTCAGGATTCTGGAAATATAGATCTTCTATTCCAAGCAGCAATGGATCTTAGCACAAGTACCAAGCCATATGATTGTGTCACTGCTTCGTATTTGTTGAACTTTTTAGTACATCATGAAGGATTGCAGCATATTTGTTTAGGAAAATGGGTTGAGCATAACACCCAGGTGGATGAAAACACATTAGTGAGTATAGTGGAGAAGAACACTTTGGCAGGTAATATTTTGGGGGAAAAGTTTTTTATATTTATTTGAAACTTTACTGCTTTTCCTTATGGCTTTTTGGTAGTGGGCTTAGTAAGAGATGCTTATTTCTAGCAGGATTTTAAGTATATTTTGTTTTGCTGTTAAGAAGCCAGGTGCCTGGCTTAATCTGGATTTGTGTTGAAGTTATTGAATATCCTAGAAGATGGCTTTTGTTATTATTTTGACAAGTGACATTGAGGCCCAGGTAGTGAGCCCGGTGAAGCTGGGCACATGAAGTGCAGGGAAAGGAGCCTCTGCTTCCTCTAAGACCTCGGTCACCCAAAGGGAAGGCAGCAGTAGTTGGTCTGTGTATGTTCCAGTACTTGATGTTTGCAAAACTGCCCCTTGTTGCTCTGGTCATTGGAAGCCTTTTTCTGAGTAATTTTCAGTCCTGCACATACACATCCACAGTAATCAGGCTTTGTTCATATCTGGAATATTTTTCTTTGGTTTAGTGCCCCTGGATGAAAGATGACAGGGCTCTGGAATTGGCAGGTTTAGCAAATTTCTTAATCAGGCTTCATGCACCTTTTGTAATTTTCAATACAACTAAAGTATTTAAATTCGTTATTTGTAATAAACAATTTTATATAATTCGTAGATTTTTAGTAAACTAAGTATTGTGTACTTTTTGTGCCATTATTGTCTTCTCTGTAGATGCCTATTAATACTTCATATGCAGTGAAATAGTGATTTTGAGACATGGTTGTTTTTGCCATAAATGGAGGAAATGTTTGGATAACCTCATGTCTCATTGCTGTAGAGTATCTCCTGTTGTTAGTCATCCATGGTTCCTTGTTAGAGTCTATATTTCATTCAGATTCTGACACTGAGATGCTGGAAGGTATAATTAAAATAGGCACATGTATCCTTGAAAACTGGTCAGGTTCTTTAGCAGAAAACAGAGGGTTCAGATATTTAACCACGAACTTTTGGTGTTTAGTATTCTGCTGAACTGGAGAGACACATTATATTAATGTGCCTCTTAAGGGTGAAGTCTGACTTGCAGTGTGTCATAGGTGACTTCTTGTGACTTCATCATAACCTGTGGGATTGTCCCCAAATGTAGGATCAGGATTGGGCTTTTCACAGCTACCATTTGATTCAGATAGATTAAATTGACTATACCAAATATTGCTGGAGTTTAGGTTACTGAAAATCAACAATAACCTGTATTTAAGATACAAAACAGAAAAATGTGTAAACAAGAAAACTGAATTTTCCATTGAATTGTTGTGTAAACAGGCTTTATTCCTTAAAATACCTCTTAAAGCAGATTTATTTCTTAGAAAATACAATATATATGTATAATGCAAATCTGTGCTTTTAAAAATTTTAGTTATCAAGCTTTTGTTGATGAATGTCGAAGAAGAAATATTCCAAGCCAAGAAGTCTCTGCTTCGAGCAGCAGCATCATTCCCAATGTATGGGAGAGTGCATTGTATAACTGGAGCTTTGCAGCAATTATCCTTTAAGTAAGTAAAACATACTAAGTTGTAACTCCATGTTTAAGTGCAGTGGAAGAGCTGTTCAGGAGAACATAAAAGCATACAGTATTATTTATAACAAAATCCAGAACCTGGATCTGGCTGCTGCAGTGTTTAGCTGGCCCTTTCACACTTCCTTTATATGTGTTAAACTCAGCCTTAGGACTTTTCAATCTGTACCCTGTTTGTAGTTTTCATAAATACCATTGTGGAAGTGTTTGTAATTTCAGCTCTTTCTTTTAAATTTAAAATTATTTTTAATCCATGTTATGATGTTTTTGATTGTGATTTTGGTTTTGTTTTTTTTTTNTTTTTTTTTTTTTTTTTTAAGTAACTTGACACTGGTATCTGAATGGAAGGAAATGGTGACCAGGCTCATTCTGATGTCATACAAACTCTCTGCTGTGGTATCACCAGTAGTACAGAGCTCATCACCAGAGGGTCTTATTCCAATGGATACTGATCCAGGTAAAGAAACTAACAAACAGAATCCCCAAAGAATTCTGTTAAAATCTGGTGCCCCTGAAGTTCTGTTTGTTTTGCAGTGATTAAGAATTAGAATGAGCACCCCTCCCTTTCAGTTTCTTGTTGTATATCATAATCTTAAGCCACTCTTTTAACTTCTGATAAAGGTTGTCCTGACTTCTGCACTAAAAAGCCCCCGATTGTGTTGTTGCATCACTTCAACAGATACAAGAGGGGGACTGTAAATTCAGTTTTCTTCCTTAATCATTCTAATCACCATAATTTTACATTTTTATTTTTTTTAATGCTAATAGCTTTCTTTTGCACTTATACACCCAAAATTAATTACATCGGTATAAAGAACTTGAAGTAAAAGACTAAACCATCTTAAATATCCCTCTTGTTTAATATGCAGAAAGTGCAGGTCGTCTGCAGATGATTCTGAATGAGATACAACCACAAGACACGAATGATTATTTTATGCAAGCAAAAATTTTGAAAGAACACTGCAAAGAAGAGTCTGAAAAGCTGGCTGACCAGAGACCAGTGAAAAATACTTGCACAGAAATGAGAGGTAAATCCAGTGCTTATTAATTTATTAATTTATTAATTAATCCAGTGTATTATTAATTTAACAAAGGTATTTTTTATGGAGTAGGCATTTTATGTGGGTTATCAAAATTGAAAATTACTTGCTCCATATAATGTTTCAGTTCTTATCTCTCAGCAGCTAGTTATTTGGACATGATTTTAAAGACTAATTCACTGTCTTTCTGGAAGACTGTGGTTAATCTCTCTTAAGGCACTAGTGAAGTTTAGTTGTTTTGATATTGGCCTGGACTCTATTGCCCTTACTGTGCTGGCCAGGTAATCTTTGACACCTTTTCTATCAAGCAACACTTCTGATGCATTTCTTGTTGAAAGGTGTTACTATGATTTCCCTTTCCAGTGTACACAAGGCTAATGGGGAATATGTTCGTGCAATACAACTTGTTGCATGAAATTACATAAACAGAAACTTCAGTTAAAAAGATTCCAGTGCTAAAATGTTAGGTAGTATTTGTCTGTTTTAATGAATAGCAGCTATGAAATTAAGCCTTATAGTGATAAGGAAATTGTAAGCTTTGGTGTCTTTAGTGTAGGCCAGAATAAATTTATAGAATATCTGTACATTTTTAAATTTAATCGTTTGTGCAAGCTTTTGAACTTCCTTTCCTCGCTTGTTTTTTTCTGTGTTTAAAGTAATTTTGATCTGGCTGTATGAAAGAAGTGGATAAATACGTAAAAGTGTCACAGCGGCCGCCAGGTGGGGGTGTTGCGCTGTAAACGCAGTGCATTTGCGAGGCCTCTCCCTTCTGGAAGGTGTACTGTGAGTGATGGGTTTAGGAATGATGGGGAGCTTGTTGGAGCCTGGCTCCAAACTTGTAGATGTTTCTATAGTTCAGTGTGCTGGTAAATAACAATTGTGACCCAAAGGCCTCTACTCTTTAAAATAGCACTGTTCTGGTAAAATGTTCATGCTACAGCCTTTCCCAAGTGAAATAAAGTACAGCAAGTGTTGAGGAGCGGAAACAATTAGGGTCAGCAGCACTGACTTATCTTTTGGGTAGGCAAGTTTGGAAATTTTTTCTTAGTTAATTGTGTTTTCTAAGAAGATCAGGCTAAGTGCAGTTTAAATTACACGTCTGCAACTGAGAACCTTGACTAACACTGTTGCATTTGGTGGTTTTTATTTTTAAGGTAAAGAAAGGCAAACGTGTGATGTCACGGCTCAAATGGTTCTTGTATGTTGCTGGAGAAGCATGAAGGAAGTATCTCTGCTCCTAGGGACACTGTGTAAACTTCTGCCTTCACAGACTACATCTGAACCTTCAAATGGGTTGATTACTATAGAACAGGTAGGGGAGTAATTCTTATTATAATGCCTGCAATGTCTTTTTGGGTAGTAGTGAGAGGAAGGCAGTTTTCAGAAAGCTTTTTTCTTAAGTCTACTTCCCTATATGGGCCATTCACTTAAGAGTTGGTCTTGATGATCCTTGTGGGTCCCTTCCAACTCAGAATACTCTGTGATTCTGTATGGGAAAAGTTGTGGGGTTTTAATTTTTTATTTTTTGTATTTGCCATGTTCTTGTGGTTTTCTTGGTTTATTATACTTGGTTAACAGTCTTGTTTTTGTGAAGTGATGTTCAGAAAGCATAACTACAGTAGAAACATGTAAGTGAAGAAATTATCATTATTATTATTGACTTCTAACAAACAAAAGAAACTAGCAAACTCAAGGAATATTAATTCTAATTGTATTGGGTTATTTATGAGATGTATGCTGTGTTTGGGGATACCAATGCCTGCCTGTCTCCCCACCCTTTGTTGCTCTCTCTCTTGGTATATATAAGGCACTTATAGAGCTGCTAAAAATCTTCTAAGCTGATGTCATATTCAGAATGTCTTCTGTTTCATTTTACTTAAAGCTCTTCATTAATTAAACTTCATAGCCAATAGTTCTAAAAGTTAAACATGCTGACTAGTCTTAATCTTGTCCTCCATAGGAGACTGAATTATGAATAATTTGTATGTAATGTGACTCTCTTTTTCCTCCAATTTTTTTGATTTAAGGGATCAGAAATGTTAATATGCCATCTGGGTCTCTTGTAGAGTGTTGAGTTTGATGTTTACAAGAAATTAGATTACCACAGGCATTTATTTGGGAAATATTTTATGTTTATTAAATTTCTGTTTTTAATTGATGACCTTTTCATTTCCATATGGTTTCAACAAAACCAGTCTCTCCATGGAAGATTGAAATATGCAAGACTTACTACTTTTTAACTTCTTTTTCTTTCCAACAGAAAATACTTAGTTTTTCCTTAGGTGTTAGAGCTTTCCACCTTAAAATAATTAATAGTAGAATGGACTGTAAATCTTATTTGTTATGTTATCTATTATTGGGTGTCCCAGAAATAGGGTTGGCATCTTTATTCTTGTGGTGTCTCTACCCTTCATGTTTTCATCTGGTTAACAGCTGTGCTTGTATTGTTGCAGGAGTCTGGAGGGTAGATGAGAGAACAGATACTCATTTCCACCATTATGGTCATTAATTTGCACCAGGTCGAAAAGGAATGAGTTGGCTTTTACTGTAGCATCTCTGTCTTTAGAAAGCAGACATTAGTAGATACCCTTTCAGAAATGCTGTGTTATTAAGCAAGGAGCTGGACTTCGATGATCCTTGTGGGTCCCTTCCAACTCAGGATATTCTGTGATTATATGAAGATACCTTCTCTTCCTATAGATGCCTCCTTAGGTTATATATGCTTCAGATGTCTTCCTGTAAAACAGAATGTCTGCATTCTAATTTGAAGAATGCTAACTGATTTGAAGTCAGTTTGAAACCCTGATTTTCCTTAGGCTTGCAAGGAAATACACATAGGAATACAATTTCACTGAATGTATACAAATAGAAGTACTGTGGGTGTTTTTTCTGCATTTTTGAAATTGGCATTACTGTATTGTACCAAAAAAAGGTGATTTCATCATAAATGACTGAAAATGTCAATACTATAACTGCTGTGGCTTCAGACTTCTATTAAACACTTTTTGGTGTTGACAAGTAAGACAATTGGATTTTGGAATCTTATGCATGTAGAACCTTCCTTTAAAGTTGCCTGTTCTTTTTCTTCATTCTGTAAGTATTAAAAGAGATTTAAGAATACAGAGAAGAAAATCTCGAGAGAAACCTTGGTCATCTTGCCTTGAGTCAGGACTAAGTGATCGTTGAAAAAAAGTCTGATAGCACCGCTTGACCGGTCTGTTGTCATCCTGTTGTAAACCTTCCCATCTTGTACCTATGTAGGAGACCTTGGCAAAGGCAGCTCATGTATGATACTTTGTTGTTGCTGCTAGGAAGTTGGGACAATATCAGATTTACTCTCTCCTTGTCTTTTGAGTTAGAGATTGGGTTTACATGGCATTTGATACCACTGTGCACACTGACTGTAACATCTTCAGCTCCGTGGTGTGGAAATGTGTGTATAGAGCAGCCTCAAAATACTGTATCTGGAGTCGCAGTCTTCAAAGTCTAAGCTGTTCTACCATGGTTGCTTTGCCTTCAGAAGCAGACATAGGAAGGGCATAGAATATCTGGAGTATAGTAAATCTCTCTATTCAAATACCTAATCGACTTTTCATTTTCCATCTGATCCTAAAAGTCCAGTGATAACAGGCTCAAAGGTCTGCCTGTTAAGATGGTCAATACAAATAGTATCATGTCCCAGTACCACCAGGTAATTAGCAAAACAATATCTAATGAAGACTGTGTTGAGTTTGTCATATGATCTGCAAATCATGAGAGTGCTCCAAGCCTGGACGAACCTTAGCTCTTCCTCAAACTCCTGTTTATCTCACCTGTGAAGTTTAAAGACTGCTTTGAGAGATAAGCTTGCCAGAGCTGTATGCCAAAGTGAAAAGACTTAGTTGTCCCAATGCCAGGAATTCTGCTTGTGTTAACCCAACAGTTCCAAGAGAGCTGATCTGAGTCCTTGTGATGGAACACTGAATTGACAGAAGGCTTGTAGGTACTGACAATCCTCAGTACTTGCTACTTATTTGTGCCATCAGTGCAAAAATGTGGCTCCCTTTGCTGCTTTGGAGCAGATGGAAGCAATTTGTTCTACTATAGGAAGAATTAAAAAAAAAAATAAACAAAACCCCCAAACCCACCAAAAAAACCAACCTCTCTTCAGTTCTTAATATAATCAGTCTTATCTCCTCTGGAGGTTCATAGTGTTTGGCAATATTTCACAGACTACAATTAGTTTTGAATTGAGATGCTTTTGCAGTCCTTTGTGCATTTTAAGCCATCCTTTATTAATGGTTTGAAAAAAACCCACCATCTAGAAGAACCTTACTACAGTGGCATCTTATTTATGTGGAGGCACAAATGTACCAACCACTTTTCAGAGCCCTCTGAGAATATCCAGTACAGAATTTATGTCTTGAATACTGATATTCTTGGCCTCAGCAGCAAGTGTGACCCTGTAAATTGTTCACTGTTGATTTAGTAACACTAACCTGTTGTATCCTAGATTTTTGACCAAGATGATCGAATGTATTTATTATATTTGCTCCCTATTCCATATTTGAGTATTTTAACTTCATCAGGGGTGCTATTTCATGAGCAAGCAAAGTTGGTAGAGGCACCTTGTATTATAGCTGCTGTCGGTCTTCATGATGTTGTAGAAAATGTGAATTCTTTGACCTCTCCATCATGATGTATGAAGTACTGTTTTTCTGACGTGAGGAAGCTGGACACTCATGGATGGCATGATGCCATTGCATAAGAATCCATGCCTACACACTTACCTCAGGCTCAGAGATGTTATTTGCAAGAACTGAGTTATGCCAGTGCTTTTTCTAGCCTGTGAGCTCAATTTGATGCAAGCTTCTAGTCAGTATGGCTGTTGCAAATAGCTCAGAAGTATAAATAGTAAAGTTGAAAGTTACATGACAAAAAAAAGAATCATATGAATTGCTCTAAAAATGTAAGTGTGGTGGTGGAACAGGGTGGTAAATTGATTTGCCTGTGTATGGTTTCCTTGTTTCGGTTTTGTTTACACACCTGGAGAGCTGGTCTGTGTGGGTCAGTTCCTTCTGAATAAAGGGCACTTACTCCTTCTTTTTGGGCTAGAAAGCTGAAATGAAACCCTGTGGATACATAAACTACCTTAAAATCAACTCAGAGAAATAACCTTTTTAGCTCAGGTATTTCCAGTTATTGTGTGTTTCGTATTAGGTGAATTTTAGCTACAGGAAATAATAACTAGACTGTCTCAATTTTTTTTTTTTTTAACTGTTGCAATCTCATTACTTGGGTAATACAAATTATTTAACTGGAGGATGAAAAGCTATATAGTTAGATATGGCTAACTTCTCTGACAGCTTAATTACTTGTCAAACTATTAAAGTATTAAAATCATAAGTAACAGAATAAGTAGAATTTTATAAGAAACTTGATGTGATTTTATGCATGGTCTTATATAAAAGCTTAAAGAAACTTCTGCTGGAGAACTTTTAGGAAATACTCTTGAGGAAAATTTTGCATAATAGAATTAAGTATGTGCTATGCATTTTAAACAAATCAAATTGGAAGTTTGATTTAGACTTGAAAGTTGATGAGAATTAGAGCAAAAAACCCAACAAATAAAACAGCTTAGTTTAAAAACTTGGTATCCTGATAGAACTCTAGAAAGTAACTATGAGTAAAAGTTTAGATGTCCCATTTGCCTTTTTGACACTTAAATATAGCTCTCGTTGCTAAATACATACAACATCTTTTTCATTTTAAAAGTGTTTCTAAGAGTCCACAGCAATTATGCAGAATCCTAGAACCTTAAAGATACCTAAGGTAGATTTGTTTTCCTTTGGCACAATTTTTAGAGTTTGAATTTCGTATCTTCGATGTTTTTGTAGATGTTTGTTTCTGCTGTTATGCTTTAGCAGATATTTTCTTTGGGATTTTAGGTAAGAGTGTAGGCAGACAAGAAAGATTCAAAATTTTCCTCTGAAAATAAGGGTCGTCCCTTTCTTCTCTTAAAATCTGTATACCTCTTGGACAAATAATCAATTTTATGTCCTTTTTTTTTTTTTTTTGCTTTTTTTGAGGATCCAGAACTACCCTTTTGACCTGAAAAATTGAGTATAATATTTGTTGTTTGTTTGGGTTTTTTGTTTTTGCTTTTTTTTTTTTTTTTAATTATAGGACTTCTAGTTACTTTTTGCTTGTACCAGTGACCTTTTCAACCAGGGGAAGGATTGCTGCTTGTGACTGCAGAATACTTTGCATACATAAATGAATTGTGTATATCTAATTTCACTTTTTTTTTTTTTTTAGGTTAAAAATATCGGTGATTACTTTAAACAT